TTTCTCTGGACACTATCAAATGTATGGCGTCAATGACCAAGCCTGCTGCGACCATCTTAGTTGATTTACAGCTATACTATTCTGTTCAAGTCCTAGAAGAACAGGTGATGCAGCTGCATATCTCAAGTGGAAGCTCTCGCTGGCAATAAAAAATCTCCCAACCGGGCAGTGTGATGTTGGTGACAATGCATACACCAGCTCTAACTCTCTATTGACACCATTTTCGCGGCCCCCGTACATCCACAGCTGATCACAACAGCTATAATTTTCATTTAAGCCAGCTACAAATTCGTGAAATGGCTTTCGGCCTGCTGTCAGCCTTTTAATGCTCCACTGGAGATTGACTGGATTTAAACAGAAGTCTCCTACAGATCAGCGGCGTGCATTCTTCATTGCTGGTACATTAACCAGAGGCTTCGGGAGAACGGAAGCTATACTATCTAAGAAGACAAAGATTTAGTCGAAGTAGTTAAACAAGCAAGAGAGGTACAAGAATCACCACCAGGTTAAACCGTTGACCCTGTGAGCTCTTCGCGTTATCGGCGTCTGTACGAGTCCTCACACTTGTCCATCGACCCTGACACCTACCACAATTATGTGTGGGTTCGTGACACAGCTGATGAGCTGCTTAAGCGCGAGTCAGTATTGCGCCCACGTCGCAACACAATCCAAAGAGCGCAAGAAGAAAATGAAAATTACTTATCGAAGCGCATCACTTCAAATTGTCTCTTTAATGTAAGGCGTAAGCAGCGATCAACTATCGCGCAGTGCACGCAATCAAATTACTCAATGCTTGTCAATGTAACAGCGTCCCTGGAAGCATAATTCCAATTAAGTTTCGTATTACTACAAACGCTGCTGGTGCATGATAAGGCTCTTGGCTAGCTCGGGATCCGCAACACCTTCAAGATCGGACTTGCGAAGGCTAGCCGATGTAGCCTTGTGATGCGATAATGAGCTGGTCCTCGCTTCAGTTTTTAGGCAAGCAATTTTGGTTGCAGTAGATGACGTACCAGCGACAAACTCCGCCTTGCGTATAATTGTCTTAATCACTTGGTTATGTCACTCCGCAGGTCTGTTACCTGGCGTAGGTGCGCGGTGTCCACCTAGGTCTATCGAGTCATTTCACCTTCTGCATACATGTCGCCACAAGCAAATGTAACCAGATCCGGCTTGACCTTCGTACAAATTCGAAAGTAGGCGGTACCGAGGCTTCCAGTACAGAAGTCGTAAAACGCGTCGGAATGCTGGTTGAACGCATAAAGCATAG